TTCTTAAGTATTCTAGCTTTGAAGGACTACTAATTTAGCTGGGATATCACAAATTTTAAACAATAAAATAATGTTTTTCCATAATTAAAAATAATGATTACAATATTTATTTTTAAAAAAAGCACTCAGTTAAAAATTTCTTTACAATGGCTTTACAATGGATTTATATGGCAAGTCACCATATAAATCATGACTGACTGAGTTCTGTCGCCAACTTGTCTATCACAACCTACCAATAAGTCGGTTGCAACGTTTTTTTCTAGTCGAATGCGAGCTTTTCATGTGCAATGATGGCACCTTGATCAAGATTACAGTGGAACCTCGAGATACGAGTTCTTCTATATAACAGAAATTCGACATAGAGGAAAGTATGGGCGAAACATTTGTCTCTAAATACGAACATTGACTCGAGTAACGAGCAAATGAGCCAGGCTGTTGGTATGCGTGGCGCCATTTTCTGATCCGGCTCGACTCGGGGAATCCCCTGGTCAGACCACTCAGTGTTCTTTGATCTACGTGTTTGTGCGCTTGTGAGTTAATTATTTATCACATTTAACGTGAAAATAATTATTTCACGATGCCTCCTCCCAAGAAGATTGTTGCTTCAAATAGTGCTGCAAAGAAAAATAAGGAAGCTATGGCCGTTGAAATTCAGAATGAAATCATAAATAAACATAAGCGTGGTGTAAGAGTGACGGAATTGCGAAGACTGGCGGTCTTACGTCATCGACGATTTGCACTGTTCTGGAGCAGAAGGAAGAAATTAAGAAACTTGGTGTAGGCAAAGGAGTTACCGTTACTTCGAAGCACCGTCCAAAACTCCTAGAAGCTGCTGAGAAGCTGTTGCAGGTGTGTATTAACAAGAAACAGTTAAGGTCGGTGTCGGAAGTTATCATAAAGGTAGACTACGGTTGTATTATTTACCCAGTGTTATTTATTAGAAAAATTTATTTTTATGTTGATATTTTTGGGGTACGGAACGGAGTAACTGGATTTCCATTATTTTCAATGGGGAAATTTGTTTCTAGATACGGAAAAATTCGTTATACGAACTCAGTGCTGAAACGAATTAAACTCGTATCTCGAGTTTCCACTGTAATGTTATTCGGAAACTGTTATCGAACTGTAGTATTTAAGAACGCATACAACTGTACAGACATTAAGTATTTTTTGGAAGCAGGCAAGATGAAAAATGAGCAATCGCCTTAGCCGGGAATCGAACCAATGACCTCTGGAATACCAGTCCAGCGTGCAAAACCACTGCACCACGAAGGCACGCCAAGAAGGTGGGAAAAATACCTTATATACTCCCATTTAAAGGGCGACAGGGGTTTTTAGGGGATCCAATTGCCAAATCCTGGGTGGAGAGAAATCATCATCCACCATCCTTTTAGTTCGGTCGCCACTGTAGAAACATTAGATATTTCTGGAAGCAGGCAAGATGAAAAATTAGCAAACGCCTCTTCGCCCGGAATCGAACCACGGACCTCTGGAATACCGGCACAGCGTGCAGAACCACTACTCCACGAAGGCACGCCAAAAAGGTGGGAGAAATACCTTATACAACAATTATCCATTTGTATACAACTACAAAACGAAATCGCAAAACTACATTTCAAAGGCATAGATATGGTCAGCAATTTCTGATAAATAAATTTTGAAATGGGAAAATGAACTGAAGGATACTTTTCTTTTGAATGACAGCTGCATAATGGTCAACATAGATGGTCCTTAAAGTGCTGAAATAAAGTGCTTAAAGTGTCCTTTCAGCAAATGAGTCTCCCTAAAGTGCTAAAGTTGTATTCTTCCAGCAAACACCAAATCCATAATTCAACAGAGTGATCCAGGGATTACTAGGAGAATTATGGAAGGATATTTATAGAATAATCAAGGGATTACTATGGCTAGAAATGAAAGAATATTTACAGAGTAATCAAAGGATTACGACAGCTAGGAAACGATATTATGGCAACGAGATGAATAGAATCCTCCATAACATATAGACTAGGGATGTATGTGCGAATAAGTTAGCAAATAAAACTAAGCTTCTTAGTCCACTCTACATCTGCTAAATAACACCTTGGAACTGCGTCTTAGAGAATAAAAAATGAAAAACTTCACTTATGATAACATAAGTGATGAAATAGAGGAAGATCATAAAGCAGTATATCTACAACTAACAGGAATTGTGATAAACCTGAAAACTGAGAAGATATTGATGAAAAAGCTCCAAGTTGCAGCTTTGGTGACAGAGCTAATCATTTTCACAAATACATTCAAACATAATAATGCAAGATAACTTCTGAAGAATATGACGATGAAACTGATAAGAAATTTTCTACTTGTGTTGAGATAAAGGAGGCGTTTCCTTTTAATAAGAATATAAAACGTCTGTAAGCGAACTTTTGCATAATAGCTGGAGGCAGTCCTTCATTAAAGGTAAATACTCATCATGAATAAATATATATATTAAATTTTTAATTAAATTTCTCGAAGAGTATGCATTTATATATTTCCATAGTATTTCCATTAAATTAATTAAATTTATATTAACTATAAGGAATATATTTTTTCTCGTCTTCAATGTTATCATTCGGTTTATGCTATCAAAACACCCGTGAAGAAACGTGATCATATTAAGTGGCGTCTAGAGTTACAAATGTTAGATTATTATATTATTTCCTCGTCCATCGTTAGATCAGAAGTTGGAGGGAAAATAATTCACATTCAAGATAAATTCGGGCGGCTTTGGTTTAAGACACTCTATAAAAAGTTCTAAACGGAAAGCTTTCCATTAGCCTATCATAATTTCCAATTAAATTTAAATAATTAGTCAAATGACGGAAGTTAGAATAATAAGTACCAGATTATTACATTTTTCTGACAATTTGAGTGAGTGTATAAACCAACTCCATTTATAATTCCTCTTTTTTCAAACTCTTCATACGGACATTTCCTAAACTAATTAAAGGAATTAGTTATTGATCGATTATTTAATATTGTATGTACTTGCTATTTTAACATTTAAATACTTTTACTAGCCTTATGTAATAAAAATCATTTTAATAATCATAATATCTACAAGTACTTTACACATACATATATAACAAAATAAAACCATTTATTTCACAGAAAGAGAGCAGAAATTACTTAATTATGCGCAATTTTCCTAATTTACTACAATCACTCAGAAGTCAGACAGAAAAATTTGGCTGACTATTACTTTTTTAATTTATTCAAGAACTGTTCGAATAAATGACATTTATGTATTAATCTCAGTTTAAAAAAATAACAGTTTTGAACTTATTTTATTATTATCTGATTTTTCAACATTTATTAAAAGTAGTAAATGCGAAATGCTGTCTAAAATTAAAAAATAAATAAATACTTTTTTAATTTAAATTAAATTCCGTTTTATGATTTCAGTTAACATTGTTATTAAATATGAAATTTAATTTACCTCTTTATTTTAATACATGTACATATCGTTATTTTACATTAGCAGTGAGCGACTAAGAATTGTGACAGAAAAATTAAACCTTAATTAAGCAATAATTATTTAAATCTGCACAATATATGCACATATTTTAAGCAATGATGACATAATATATACACTTACTGCCGTCAATATGGTTAGATTTCACGGTGTCAAAATACCATTAGGGGTAAAAAATTTGCAACGGAAAAACTTTAATACCCATTACATAATATCACTTATAGTAAAACCAGAAAATTGTTGTCAACTCTTTCAGTAGTTAAAAAAAAACATTCTGAAGTTTTAAAAACAATTAATTAGAAAAACAAGCTAATTCATATTTTCTAAAATATATTTTATTATAGTTTATGTTGAAAACCATTGTTATATAACCAAGCTATCAAAAAAATTTAGTAACTAACTACCGTATATACTCGCATATAAGTCGATACCGCGTATAAGTCGACCCCCCCCCCACTTCGACATAAAAAATTCGTAGAAAATAAGAAACCCGCGTATAAGTCGCCCCCCCCCACTTCCGAAATCGATCGAGAAACTTCGAAAATTTTTTTTTAAGTACTACATTTATTCAAAATCATCTGAGAAAAAAAAAAAATGTTCGATAAAAAATACCTTGGTAAATAAACAAAATCAAAATCCTTCAACGTCCGATTCATGGTCAGATTCACCAAACATTTCATAGAACACTTCTGTCGTCATTGGCTCGTCATCATACATATTGGGATAATTGGGGAAAAATGATCGTATATAGGAACCTTCTAGAATTTGTTTCGGAAAAGATTCGCGTAAGTAAAATCTATCTGCATTTTCCCTTTTTAAAAGTTAAAAGAAGTATTCAAAACTGTTCAGTTATTGCGGGGACTATTTTTTTAAATTTTGACGTGTACGCCTGTTAACAAAAGTATTTCATGAATGAACAATAACTATTATAAAGACTTATACGTACGTACGTAAAAACTATCTGCATTTCTCTTTTCTTGGCGTGTTGGCGAAACTTTTTTATTGCTCGATATTGATCGGTTGTCGGGGACCGAAAATTCTTTGGTTTAATCGAAACTTACTCTAGTTAAAGTATCAAACTCTGTGATTAGTTCGTCACATAATTTAAGTCATGAAATTACTTCAAGTAAGTGACTTATTTGATAAGTCGTCCAATTTGAGTGCGAGAAGAAAATAACTGCATTATATAAAGAAATTTTTGAACTTCCGATTCTTTTAATTTTTTATGGCTCCGCGTATAAGTCGACCCCCCACTTTGAAGTCCTTTTTTTGTCCAAAATATCTCGACTTAAACGCGGGTATATAAGGTATTACATATTTCAACTTAAAATAATGATATCTTGTATTTTATTAGTACCCAGAGTAAACTACTTGTTGCATAGGCAACAAACAACTCATCGTGAAAGATATTTCTTTCTTCTTTCATACCCTTTGATTTATAAAACTTTAATAATTAGCGCGCAAAACTTATTAGAGATAAATGACTAAAATACCAAAATAATACCTGCAGAGTCCTGGCCATATTCGCTTTCTGTGTCGCTTCCGATAGAGAAATGAAGAGAGATCTTTGTGATCTTGTTACCATAGCAATAGCAGCAATCCCGGGACCACGTGCCGGGAACGCATGCGCAGCCGGCCCATACATCGCCTTACCAACTAGCTGTTATTTCGAATTTTTTCTTAGGAATATAACTCAAGGAGTTTTGCAGAAAAGTGGTTCATGTTACTCCTACTGTATCTGACATTTGCCTACACAGCCACTCCCTGATTTCCTGTTGAGTTAATGATTCAGTGGTGTCAAATTTTCGAAAGATGAAATTTCAGAAAATATTTGCTATGCAGCAGTTGCAATTTTACTAAATTCGATTAAAAAGAGTAAGAAGGATTGGTGAAGACAATAATTAATCGTGTAAGTGGAAGGGAAACATGTCAGGGTAAATTTTGAAATTAGGCACAAAAGCAATCATTCAGGCGTAGATTTTCAATAAAATCTATTGACCAAACATAAAAGAGGGACCTGTGTCTGACACATCATCCTTGAAATGGATAGAATTTTATACAAAATTTATGCCAATGTAAACATACATTTTGCTTAATTTTGACTAATTGTGTGTTCCAAGTACTTAAAGTTTTTGACCTCATAAGAGGGATGGTCAGCGTAGAATTTTGACTTCAAATTTCACTCATAGCCACTTTCGATAAAAAAAAAAAGTCCAAGGAAGCAATTTGCCCAGAAGCACTATTAATTTCGTTTCGCCATTTTGTATCGATTCACGTTAAGCGTGGTTTCACTTTTCAAATTGTTGCCACCAAATATCATCGTCCTGTATTATATTTAAGGAAATTAAATAATGAAGAATCTGCTTGAATGTATGTATGTTTCTCGCATTGTGACAAAACGACGGTACTTAGAACCATCAAAATTTGAATAACATAATCTTCCATAGCATATGGGCATGTGGAAGCCCCAATTTGGAATTTGGTATTTGTTTTATTATCGATCTTTTTTTGGGGGGGCAACACTTTAACGAATTTTTTATTAACAAACTTAATGATTTCGAAGCGAGCAATGGCAAAATTAAAAGAAAAAAAAAAGTTTTTATCTCCAGTGCGCGAGACTCTGTATCGGAAATTCTAAAGCTATGCTCATTTTTAAATTATTTTGCGATATTGCTGTTGAACTGAATTTTATGGTTTGAGTACGTAGAACATGATATTTAATAAATAAAGATAACACACAAAACGTTAAAAAAAACGCCTCTTTGGACGTAATTTAAAATCTGAAACCCTTCAGAGGTCGGGTGTTTTTTTTTTTTTTTTTTTTTTTTTTTTTTAAAACCTAAAGGGGTAATTTACCCAGAAAAGCTGTTAATTTCGTTTAGGCATTTTGCGTTTATTCACTATAAACGGCAAACGGCGAATCACTTTTTAAATTGTTCCACCAAATATTAGAGCCCTGTCTTATCTTTAAAGAAATTAAGCAATGAAGTAGCTGCATAAATATATATATATGTTTCTCGCATTGTGATAAAACAACGGTACCTAAAGCCATCAAATGTTTAATAACGTAAGTCTCCACCCGAATATGGGCATCTGAAAGCCCAAATTTAGAATTTGGAATTTATTTTATTACATATTTTGTAAAGCATTTATGAATTTTTCATTAAGAAACTGAATGATTTCAAAGCAAGCAATTGCAACACTGTACGGGGGTTGATGTATCTCCATCGCTCGATACTGTTGTATCAGAAATTCTAAAGATATGCTCTTTTAAATATTTTTTATATTGCTGTTTAATTGAATTTATGGTTTAAGTGCGAAGAATATGATATTTAATAAAAAAAAGTAACATACAAAACGTTAAAAAAACACCCCTTAGGGTGTAATATAAAATCTCAAAGTTTTCAGATTTTGTTTAAATTGCTTTATTTAATACAGCATGTTTTTAGCTTTACACAACAAGCTTTTTTTATATATATGTGTTAATTAGAAGAGAAGATACTGGAGACTTTGCGAAGTAGGCAGAATTAAAAAAAAAAAAAAAAAAAAAAAATTAAAGATCGTTTGAAGGGCAGAAAATATATTAGGAAATAATTTAAGACGAAAATATTTTATATTATATTTTTTACAGATTAAGAGGTAAAGCTAACGGTTTTTAGTTGCCCAATACTATATTAATATTTGATTACATCGGTTTTCAAATAAAACCGATGTAATCAAATATTAGTATAATGGGCAATTAAAAACCGTAGATGTCGAAAGATATCGCAGAAAACTCTGCAAAATTACGGCAGGATAGTTATTCGCAGAAAATGCCAATATTTTGCAAAGCGCAAGAACTGCGGTAAACTTTCACTGCTATTCAAATATATGAAGCAGCCACGCAAATGTAAGATGCGTGGTTGGTGCATAATCTGTTAGTCCAGACAGCTAGTGCAAACATCAACAAGCTTCAGCAATTGCGAAAAAATGCAGAAATAAGTCCGGAAGAGGCCAAAAAAAGTAATATTTATATTTTAAGCATGTGTATATGAAATCCTATTACTAAATTTATTATTGAAATGCTTACACAGGAGAATACAAAACACAAGCAATAACTTCAATGGTATTCTATAAAAGTTAAATTGCAAAGTAAATGTTTTGACAATAAATTTATGGGCGTAACGGTGCTATACAATTCAGCAGAAGTTTTATAAGGTTACCAGACGTCCTTAAAATAGTTTACAGTCATCCTGGTGCTTACATACAGGGTGTTTATAAATGAATGGTTCGGTTTTAAAAATTAATAATAAATCCATGTACCTTAACCGTGTAAAACCTACACCGTAATTAATGGCAACTGTCCAAGTTTCTCATGTGCTATCTGCTATTTGCTTTCCATGCTTACTGCGCAGCTGCAGCGTCAGTTTCCAAGATGACGCGCTTTCTGTGTGCTCCGTTTTGAGGTGCCCAGATCTGTGATTTTAGTGCAGCGTCAGTTTCATGCACGTTTTCTGTGCGGTATCACGCAACAATGTGCATGTCCCGTTTTTCTTCGAACAAGAAATTATGGCCGGCGGCTCATTTCTAGATATGCTGGAAACTTGGTTGTTACCCTAGCTGAGCGGCAATTATGCTGCTTACATTTTGCAACTAAACGGTGTTCCGCCCCATTTTAATAGGAATGTACAAGAGCTCCTTAATCGTGATCTTCACCAACGCTTAAATGGACGTGCTACAACAGCAGACAACAGCCTTCTCCCCTGGCCACCCCATTCACCGGATTTAACACCATGCGATTTCTTTCTTTACAAGAGTGTTAAAGTCCGAGTTTATATGCTGCCAATGCCCGTTTCAGGTAGTTTTGTGGTCGGATAAAATATGCACTGTAGACCGTCACATCGGACATGCTTCACTGTTTTTTTTTTTTTTTTTTTTTTTTTTTTTTTTTTTTTTTTTTTTTTTTTTTTTTTTTGTTGTTGTTGTTGTTTGTTTTGTTTGTGTAATTATGGCAAAGCCTCGAGGTCTATCTGCCTAAGGGAAGGGATGCCTTCGTGGAGGACTTTTTAAGGGGAACTGGCTCGTATACACGTTACACATGGGGGAAACCACGAAAACGCCCATGCAGCCAACCCGTTCGCGGGATTCGAACCTCGGACCGAACTACCAGTGTTCGACATGCTTCACCGAGAATAAGAATTTGATTACCGTGTAGATGTGTGTCGCGTGACCAAGGGTGCACATACTGAAGGATTGTGCATCAAAAACTTGGACAATTTCGGCTGCTTATGCTGCAAAGTTTGCCCGTATAAAGTAATACATCGATTTATTATTAATTTTTAAAACTGCAACATTCATTTATAATCACCCTGTATTAAAAGGCATTTTCAGAGTTGGAAGAAAAACAAATTAGCAAATCCGGCGTCCTATACAGTATATGACAAAAATTTCCAGAGGAAAAAACAGATTAAAGAAGGAAATAAAGAAGGAAAATAGCTAAATGTAATCAAGGGGAGAATATGACCTCTAATTATAGCAAATTTTAAGCGTATTAGTACATTTTATTAGTATATGTATACTAATATGGATTTAAAACGCTTTTTACTTAAAACTTCTTTTTTTACGCATAAGTTCCTCACTTCAAAAATGGTAGCTAAAGAAATTATTATCTTACTTTATAGGCCACTCAGCGTGTTATTGCCTTCTAATACGTGTGCTAAAATAAATTAATTGTTTGACTACTTTTCTTATAACGACCTCCTTCGTAAGTTATAATATGGCAAATATGTAGGATTTCATGTGAATTTACAAATTATTATGATTTGAACATTTGCTATAACCTCTTTTTTCCTTAGTCTTCACCAGAATGCAACTGGAATACTGCAAACACAAACGCGAACAAACGTGAAGATAATATCACAAATATCAGGTCCCTAAAGGATCACAAATTAATATCAAAATTTGATCTAAACAGCAAACAAACAGATAACTCACGTTAAATGAAATCGCGTAACTAAAAAGCAAGGCGGACTTTTCGATAAAGATATTAATGACCGGTCACTGGACAAGTTTTAAGAAATAGCAGTGAAAAGTATACAGTCGATTATAGATTATGAATGACATCCGTGTACTTACCTTAGTTAAAGAAAAAACCAGATTTCTAAGTTCTTAACTTTGCTATCTTTTAAAGACACAGTGGGTGATCTGAGCTGAAAGAGTCAGTTCCATATATCGACTATCTCCGCCATACGTGAAGTTCAGATTTTGCAACTGAAGAAAAACTGTTTCTGTCGACTCAGTGGAGCAGTGTCCGCTAGACCAAACGTCTCCGTTAGTTCAGATAAACCCTAGTATGAACAACCCATTACCGTTACAAAAGCAGAGATTCCGATGATAATGAAAAGTTACAGTGATTCAAACTAGAGATAAAAGGGTTTGCACATGACCACATGCAACTGAAGAAATACGCAAATTTCAAGAAAAGCTTATTCAAAGAAAGATGTAAAATTTTCATAGAAATAAATGTGGTAAAACACGAATGGAGTAGTCCTGATGACAGACAGGACGAATTACAAACGCTGTAGAGTTCTACTGTGACTGGAAACTTGCAATAAAGTCCTGCAGACTTTATTAGACGATACAGAGTTATCGCTGAGTGGGAAACAA